AAACATAATTCGCATTGCTAATACTGCTACGAGCATTCGAACCAACCAGCGATTAAGAGGTTCCGATGATGTCTCGTTCGAGCATGAAATGTTATGTTGGCCCTTTGTGGTCGATACGATGGCAATGTCCCCAGGTTCTCGACCCGTTCTTCTCAGAGAAATTAAGGAAGGGTGGATCCAGGGGCACTTGTGAAGGATTGGAACTCTTTATTGAGTTGGAAGGAAAGCAATGTTTATTTCCCCCCATCTTCCGTCGGTTTCGACCGTCATTTCTATAAGCCAAGAGAAATGCAGTGCTTTACTTGCGAAGGTACGAGTCATTGTTAAATGAAATGGCTGTTTTACTGAATATAGGCTTCTCTAAATTAAACATTTTCAGTAGTTGTATAACAAAATTTTAGAAGACCAAAAGTTTTAGGAATGAAAAATAGCGTGATTTTTTTTATCATAGTGAATAAAAATAAAGCAGTTGAAATTCAGAACGATTAGTACAAAAAAAAAAAAAAAAAAAAAATTGAAGTAATTTGTAAGTTCTTGTAAAAAAAAAAATGGAAGAATTTTGTAGTAGACATTGAATTGAACTAAATAAGCAAATTGCTTTATTACTACTTATTTATTGTATATTTGTTTAACTTTTAATATGTAAATTTCATTTTTCAAATAATTTGCTAATTTTGTTAAATCTTTGTTGTATTTCTCGTTCACGAATATGAGATATTTAAAAACTTTTTATTTTCATGAGTATTTTTTTTAAAAATTTTTAACGCTTAGTTACAATTATGAAAAATCTATTTTAGAAAAATATATGTATGAAAAATAAATTTTCGAAAAGTTTCAAAATAAAAAAAACAAGAATAAATCTATTGTTATTAGCATAATTTTTAATTTATATTCATGACTACATAACTGATTTATGACTGCTAGGTAATAATAATAAACTGTGAAATGTTGTCTACTGTCACAATTAGTCACAGTGACAATAAAATTATCTCGATAATCAGAGACAGGATTTTCGACTTATTTCTAAAACGTCTGGAGTTACGTCTAAAACGTTTAGAGTAAAGTTATAATGCATTAAAAAGTACCTTTTTAATTTATACGTAATAGAATTTTAATTGCTGTGTCAGATAAAGATACATAAAAAAAATATAATATTCTTCCTAACTGTTCAACATTATCTAAAGAAGAAAATAATAAATAAAATTACAATAATGATTATGATACTATTATTATGACTGTTTTAATGCTGGACACTTGACATTCATATCATGTACACTGTAACAACAGATTAGAAACATACTGAGAGTTGTTTAGATACCCCACACGGTACTTTCACAACACTAAAGAAGGGAGGAATGCCTTTTTGGAGGTCTTTCCAAAGATAATTATATCCAAATTGTGCTAGACGAAAGGAAAAACAAGAAAACACTCAAGCAACCAGCCAGTCGGAAATCATGATTGTTGCTTAAGAGCATACCAATCATTTCAAGTAGTTCTTGTTAAAAAGGCATGCTTCGAACTCGTAACCTTTTCCTCCGATAAAGAATCTCTAACCAATTCTCATCGGTTCTTCCAATTCTCAGATTTAACAAATCATGCATGGTTTGTTAAATCTTTGTTTCTTGTTTACTACTGTGGTTTAATTATTTGAATAGTATTTTTCGTAAGTTTATTTACTTGATTGATTATGGTACCTCAACCCTAGAATAAATCTCTGGAGATAATTAGATCCTATCTCCTTTACATGGAGATTAGTTTTGTGAAAATTCCAGTTGGTTTTAATCGGATCATAACTTTCATTACTCACATATGGACCAAGCTCATTCATAACTTTGAAATTTAATTAAAATGAAATTTTTCTGCTAATGAGAACTCTTAACTCGGATTCATTATTCTTCGTTATTCACACTTTTAATTTTAAATCTGGCTTTATTTTCAGAAAATAATTCAGTATTATTTAGCTTGAAGGAAGAAGACATGAGTGTTATTTATTATAATAAATGAATCAGGATTCTCATTTGAATATAAAGAATTCTTGAACTATGATATTGATATCATCATCTTGACAATTATTAACTTTGACATGAAGAGTATTAAATTAATTCTGAGGAATAATTAATGTGTTCATGATAAACATATAACAGTGTTGCTGTAATAATAAAATATCAGTCTCCATTTTCTGTACCATTGTACATTTTCATATTTCATGATATATTCTCAGTTTCTACTTGAAAATTTCTGAAACTATATTACCATTTAAAAAGGAATATACTCATGGGAAATATAACGAATTAAAATCGTATAAATTAATCATATAATTTTTTTCTCTTGTAGTTAATGAAATGGATTTTTTCTCCAGACAGAAGTTATACATCATTTCCAAAAGTGTAGTTATAGAGTAGAAAGTCATTTTTATGTTTAGGAATCAGAAGATTGCTTCAGCATATTTTTGATATAACTCATAATATTTTTCTTTTATAATTAGAAATATAGAGTCAGCTAATATATGCAATAACTGAAGGATGCTATAAAAAACTTTTTTATTCATGAAGGATTTCGTTCTCCATTTAATGTACAAAGATCTTAATCCTGATTTGTAGAGATGTTATGCTCCCCTAGATGAATTTTAGAGAAAACTGAAGAAATTATTTAAGAGAAAATTATCATAGACATTTTTGTTGTTGTACTTAGTTAATAACTCAGTTTTTATTATTGTTCGCTTTCTATCTAACGCGATAACATTTGAAATATGATCGACATATTCCTGTGGCATCAAAATATATAAATGAATACCGTAAAAAATATAACTAATATAATCATTGTTATGATTTTTTTTTCTCCAAAGAGGTACCACTTCAGATTTGCTGAAGTGTATATTATGAAGAAAAACTTTGTGTTTAAATTTTAGAACCAGAAGATTATTTCAGCCTATTTTTGAGATATTTTTTTTTATTTCCAATGGCAAGGCTATACAAGAATGGGAAAAATACAAAATAAAGAAGAAAATGCACACAAAAGAGTTCAACAAAGTTGACCGAAGTCATTGCCTTAAGAGTTCTCTAGCTTGCCAGTGTCTCGCCGTCACGGATTCGCCAAGTAATGGACATGAGCTCGATTCATTAGTTCTGCCAAATCACAAGGAATGCTGTTTGGTTCGTCAAAACTCCCAATGCGATGTAGATGTTCATTAGATCAGTTCTTTGTTATTGAGACAAGCCACCCTTATTCCATTGCAATACATGCAGGCCATCCGAACGACGGTTCGGATAGCAGCGAGAGCTCATGCCGAAAACTGTAGAACACTTAGCCATATAAAACGTTGCACAGGGTACACCACTATGAGGTAAGTCTACATTGCACCCCATATTTTTTAGATAAGTCTTAATATTTTTCATGTATGATAACAAATTTAAAGCTACCTAATATGACAGAGACATATACCCAAAAATCATTGTTTTTTATAGAGACGTTCATGTCCTGTATATACTACCATGATATTAGTCCTGATGATTAAAGGTAGAATCACTATCCAGTGGGTTTTCAGGGAAAACTGCTCTTTTTTTTGTGTTTAGCAAGGTGTAAAGCTTAGAAATTTTCTATCCAGAATACATATTATTCTCATAATAATGACTTACAAAAGCATTATAAAATAGGCAAACCAGCAAGAGAAATGCTTATTTTTCTGAAATATCTCTAATAAAACTCATATACTCAATTTATCTCTAAAAGAATCGATATTGTCTAGTGAATTCGCACACTGAATTCATTCTGAAAGTAATTTGATAATTATATTGCTATGCTGATTTGATCTTAATTATAACTGCATGGCATTCACATAAGCTTTGTATTAAATTATTTGTTGATAGTTAAATGTTATCGTCAGCAGCTGGTTGATATTGGATAACCTTTTTAATGCTACAGTGAATCTGTCGAAGTTTGTATGCAATACTATTTTGTTCTGATAATTAATGTACATATAATCTTTCTTTGCTGAATACACACTTTACATGCATTTTTGTATGAGGAATGCCATTTCTTCAAATGTTTTCCTATAAAAGGCTATCAGAATAAAAGACATAATGAGATGAAAATGAAATAGTGATGAAATGATGATATTAAATAGACACATCAGCAAGAGAAATGCTTATTTTTCTAAAATGTTTCTAATAAAATTCATTTACTTAATTTATCTGTAAAAGAATCGATATCGTCTAGTGAATTCGCACGCTGAATTCATTCTGAAAGTAATATGATAATTATATTATAATGCTGATTTGATTTTAATGATAACTGCTAGCACGACATTCTCATAAGCGTTGTAGTAAATTATTTGTGGATAGTTAAATGTTATAGTTAGCAGCTGGTTGATATTAGTTAAACTTTTCAATGCTACAGTGAATTTGTCGAAGCTTGTAAAAAAGACTATTTTGCTCTGAAAAGTAATGTACATATAATCTTTCTTTGCTGAAGACACTCATTAAATGCATTTTTTTGTGAGAAAAATGCCATTTTTCAAATGTTTTCCTATAAAAGATTATCAGAAGTGAAATTTTATCACTATTTTATTCATAGACATTTCCTTACTTGAATCGAATATCAAATAAGTCTTCTTTTCTTTTCATTGAACTTGCATTTATCAGTATCTGGCTTATGAAACCCATTGATAGGTTGACCACTTCATTGAGGGAAAATTGCTGCTTTGTGCCATTGCAATACTCTATGGTAGAAAATAGTATTCCGGAAGAATTCAAGGAAAACTGACAGGTATATTACGTATCATACGATAAAAAACTGGAAAACTCCTTATTCAGCAGTGAGATTCAAGGTGTCACCATCACTCACAGTCCTCTCCCTTTCCAAAGCAGTAACTACAAAATACACCATCAGAGAAAATGGAAAGCTATTATTTTAGAAACACTATTATTTCTTACCTATTTCTAAGCATAGGGCACGTGCATTCAAAAACATTTAATTCTGTTTTTTATACAATCTTATAACCAACGGCCATACCATGCTGAATATACCGGTTCTCGTTAGATCACCGAAGTCAAGCATCATTGGGAACGATTAGTACTTGGGTGGGTGACCACCTGAGAACACCGCGTGACGTTGGCATTCACAAATTTGGGACCTGAATGACCGAGTGCTCTAGCGCTCGGTGCCACGGGTTTCGGGTTCGAATCCCGGCGTTGCCATGGATGTTTGTAGTGGTTCGGAATCCACTTTAAGCCGTAGGTTACGGTCTCCCATGACTGTCTCGGAGCCAAAGTCAGACTTCTACCTACGGGTGCTCCATCACAACAGAAGCTGCTTCCTTCCCCTTCAATCATGAGTACGTATGGGCTCGTGGGTTTGGCCAGCCAAGTGGGATAAGAAACAACAAAACAACAACAATACAATCTTATTTAACTTATTCGAAAATAATAGATCAAAATGAATAGATGTTAACAGAAATTGATCTAAACAAAATAAATAGATTTAATGTTAACATATTTATTTTGTTATGCTATTGACTCTAAAATTGAAATAAATTGTGTTTTTCGTTAGATGAATGATTTATAACAGTGATGGGAGTTACCTTTCCATTTATTTTGGGAATACTTAGGAAAGAGGCTGTAGGGGTTTATTTTATATTTTATTTTTATTAAGTTTGTCATTCGTAACAATAACCAAATAGCACTTGCTCACTTCAATCAATATCAATGAAATCTCGAATTTCATTTAATTTAATTTCAAATAAACTAAAAGTTTTCTTCATGACAATTTGATAGTTTATAATAAGATAAGAGTTGATAAGCCAAAAAAAAAATTTATTTTGTAATGGACTAATCATGCATATATATATAAATAAATCTCCCCTTAATCGTACATAAAAAATATTTTATCTTTAGTTCCGAGCTGGCTAAAAAAAAAAAAAAATCGATATTTTAATAAAATTTGCTAAAATTAAAATAAATTTTTCTTTGGATAAAATAAAAGAAAATTACAGGCAAATTAGAATTTGGTTATGCCTCTTTTGAATTTATCCTGTAAAGAATTATTTATTGAAATGAATGTTACCTCCTGCAAGGCATCCTTTGTAAGGATTAGAGCTCAAAAGTAGATAACTTAATTTTCCGGAGAAATAACTCACTTTAGAGAGAGAGAGAGAGAAAATGAAATTGAATTTTGGTGAATTTCAAAATTGCTGACTCAAATTTCAAAATACTTTAATCTAGAAAATGAATTTGAACATTTTGGATTTATTGAATCTCAGATGAATATCAAATATCTTGTGAACATTTATTCCTTGTATATTCCTTAATACATCAAGAGATGTTTATATTTTTATTAATTTTGTCATCCATATATATACATATATATTGATATATGTATATATATATATATATATATATATTGATATATGTATATATATATATATATATTGATATATATATATATATATATATATATATATATATATATATATTTATGTTGTTGTTGTTGTTTTTTCTTATCCCACTTGGCTGGCCAAGCCCACGAGCCCATATGGACTCATGATTCAAGGGGAAGGAAGCAGCTTCTGTTGTGATGGAGCACCCGTAGGTAGAAGCCTGACTTTTTGCTCCGTGACGCTCTTACAGTCATAGAAGACCGGGACCTCAAAAGTGGATTCCGAACCACTACAAACATCCATGGCACCGCCGGGATTCGAACCCGAAAACCGAGCGCCAGAGCTCTAGACACTCGGCCATTCAGGTCCCAAATTTGCCAACGGCACGCAGTGTTCCCAGGTGGTTGACCGCGCCCAATGATGCTTAACTTCGGTGATCTAACGAGAACCGGTATATTCAGCATGGTACGGCCGTTGGCATATATATTTATATATATATATATATATATATTTATATATATATATATATATTTATATATATATATATATATATATATATATATATTTATATATATATATATATCTATATATATATATATCTATATATATTGATATCTATATATTGATATATATATATATATATTTCCTTATATATATATATATATATATATATTTATATATATATATATATATATATATATATTGATATATATATCTATATATATTGATATATATATATATATATTGATATATATATATATATATATTGATATATATATTGATATATATATATATATATATATATTGATATATATATATATATATATATTGATATATATATATATAATTGATATATATATATATATATATATATTGATATATATAAATATATTGATATATATATATATATATATATATATATATCAATTCGAAAAACATAAATATATATTCTGAATTTATATATTGGAGTATATATATCTAATATATGTAATTCCCGTGTCACGATGTTTGTTCGGGATGAACTCTGAAACTAACAATCCGATTTTAACTTTTTTTCTTCTTAAATGTGTGTTTTGTTCCAACTTGAGAGATAGGATAGTTTTTATGCAGATTTTTTATTATTTAAATGCAAAATCGACGATTTTTATATTTCGTCATTTGGCGCCATTGATGTGATTTGGCGCAACTAAATTTTGCGAATTCTCATCCGATGGACGTAATTTTGAAAGTACATTCAAAATACAAGGTCAGGTGTACCATAAGATCGTTTCGTTGATGCCAATACCTAACGAAGAGACAAAATTTATTTTATGGGCAGCTCTGAAGAACGTGTGGCAACTCAATGTCAGTATAATTCTATCGAACAAGCAAGTACAAAGAGCTATTGTAGAATTGTTGGAAAATCTTTTAGAAAATCATGACCAACTTATTAAATTATTTAACGAATTTATTTATTTTGACGAAAGACAGATTAACAAAAAATATTGTTCATCGCTTAGTTCTTAGATAAATGAAAGTAATGACTATTAAAAATTAAATTTGGTAAAATAATTATAAAACAGTGTTAGAAATCAACATTATCTACCTCATTCCTAAAATTAATAAAAATTAAACATTTTCTATTCGTTGAAGCTTTATTTGAACTTTTTTCATCATTCTTTACTAATCACTTCCTTAACAATACCAATTATAGTATCTAATAATTGAACGAAATACAAGAAAGCCACAGCAACGCGTGGCCGGGTCTGCTAGTATATATATATATATATATATATATATATATATATCGTAACTTTCAAATAGAAAAACTTATTTTGATGAATACATTGCATTAAATGAACAAGTAATTGATGATGTTTTCGGAATTCATGGAAGCAAAATACAGAAATGTAGACTGGGAGAACCGATATTGGAAAAGTAGCGCAAAAACAAACAGTTTTTTTTTTTTCTTTCTCCGTGCATAAAAATTGAAAGCATAGAATGAAAATATTATGACTTTTACTTTACGATGTTTATCAAAATCTGCATCCTTCATTCGATGTTTTTCTCTTACATTCAAAACAATTTGTGTTTTCAACACAATGTTATTGAGAAAATTAATGAGTTATTTTTATATATACTTGAAAGTTTTTATCAAAATTTAGACTTTTTTAATACTAATATCAAAAACATGTTGTGTTTACATCAAAAAGTTATTTACAAACCTAATGAACTGTGCATTCTTGTACGAAACAAAACAAAACAAAAATAGCCCAGTTCTCTAAATTTCAATTTTATTCAGCTTAGTTACTTGACGTATTCTTTTGGAGCTATTTAGCTCCTCTATCTTTAGTTATATCATTATATCTTTAGTTATATCTCAGGTATAACAATAACAGGATAAATACAGTTAAAACAATGAAACTTGCCCAGAATACATTTACAATTATAAGAAAATTAACTTACAATCATAAACAAATAAAGAAAAGGAAAAATATTTAAAAATTAAATTAGAAATTAAATTAAAATTTTGCGTGGCCTTTTTAAATCATAATTGTGAACGTAAGAGTCAATCTCCTGGATTGCAGTATTTTCATGATTAATAAGCGTGTCAAAAAATTTAATATAGATGCATTTAAGAAAATATTTTAAAGAAGGAATGTTAATAGTTTTATAGATATGAGAATTGCGTCATGAACCATTTAGCAGAGGTAATTTGGCGGATAGCGATATTTTATAAAGTTTCAAACATTTTTAAGTTAGATTTAGCTGCATAGGACCAAATTGGACAAGCGTACATGAGAATTGGGCTTAGCATGGCAGTATAAAGAAGAATTTAATTATTCCTGGTCATGGTAGAGTTTCTATTTATAAGTGGGTAGAATTTTCTGGAGGCAATACGAAATTTAGTTTTGGTGTACAGAACATGTTGTTTCCAAGTTAAATGCTGATCCAGAATAACTCCTAAATATTTAGTTTGACTATTCCAAGGGATAATATTATTGTTGATCGTAATCACAGGTTTTTTACGTTTGTATTCAGCTTCAAATTAGCTGTTTACTAAATACAGAAAAATGCAGCATATACTAAATTAATTTTTAAAAAGTGTACAGAGAAGAATTAACAGAGAGAAAAGGATTATAAACAGCGAAGACTTCCTAGAAAGACAGTGTAAATCTCCTCTCTGTTTCGGAAAAAAAACTATTATTCTTTTCTTTCACTGTATCTAATCAACGGTTATTATAAACCAAAAAGAAATGAAATAAAATATGAAATACTGATAGAGAATTATTTATGAGATTTCTACAGAAATAAAAAAATTGATTATTTCGCTTGTTATTGAATCGATTATTCCCTAATCGATTGTGTTATAGAATACTTCAGTAATATTTAAAATTTGTCTATTTAGAGTTTTTATTTTTTTTTAAAAAATAAAGTTTTACATGTATATAAAAAGTTTGCAAATGTATATAATAAAATTTAGATTTATAAATCACAAATTATTGCGCGAAGTTTTAAAAAAATGGTTTTCAGATACCTGTGTACTAGTATAACCCAATATTGTGATTCAAACAGAAGATTACAAAAATAATTTAACAGATAAAATTTTACTAAACAAAAAAGATTGATTAACAAAAAACTGATAAATTAATTTGTGTAATTAATTTTAAACTCATGACTCATGGGCTTATATTTTGCAAACAAAATCTTGATTTTTAACTTTAAAAAAAAAACTATAGCTTTACTATTTCGAATCAAAACTTTGCAGCTCTCAAAAAAACAAACAAACAAACAAACAAAACAAAAAAAAGGAAAAATATGCAACTAATATCCAACAAATTTAAATTTACAAAAGAAATTGAATTTAAAAAGTGCAAAATAAATTACTTTCTCTTTGGTGTTTTACATTTTCAAGGGAAAAAAAGTAGTACTAAAAAAAATGACATTCATATTAAATATTATTTAAATTAAGTAACAGTCAGAAATTGGCAATATCATTTATTAAATATTTTAATTTAAAAAGTAATCAGCTTAAAAGGAATTATATTTTTTATAACCGAATTACTTCAGCAATAAAATGAACAACAAAGAATAAAAACGAATTCATTTTTGTCAGACCCAAATTAAAATTTAAAAAATTCTGAATTTACATATCTTATATTATTACATTTTCTTTAACAAAGAAGTTCTCTATGTACCGCATTATGATAATTGTTAAAAAATCTATAAACAAGTTAATTAGTTTTCTATAGAGTAAAATATACCGATGTTCGTAAAATTATTGATAGATGGAAAAACTGAAAATAACTAAAAGGCTATAGCAAGAATGAACGAAGTTTAATACATTAAAAATATGATAAATGATAAGATCATAAAGGATAATGGAGGATCTGTCAAGCATTTACTGTACAACTATGTATGCATAAGTTTAATTTATTTCAAAGATCGCATGGATTATTGTACTTTCTCTTTCTATTTCAAAGATCACAAAGATTATTGTCTTTTTCTCTCTCTCTCTCTCTCTATATATATATATATATCTATATATACACATTATACATACATTATATACATTTATATATATATATATATATATATATATATAATGTGTGCAGATGTTCAAACTTATGGTCATTTATAATTTAGGCCCAATTTTTTTAAATATTCAGTATTTTAATGAAACAGTGTTTTTTCTATCAGTGTTAATTTTATTATCGAGCCTAAATTTGTTAATTGAGCCGCATTTATTCTGGTTTAGTATTATTAAATACTCATCGAAATATTAAAATTGTCAGAAATGATGAAATCGATGAGCGGGCAAGAGAGAAAAAAAGATTGAATTTTAATGCATTATTTTTTTGTGTAATATTTTTCAGAAATTATAATTTAATTTTTTATGCAATACATCTTACACTGAAGTGACAAAAGTCATGGGATACCTCTAAATATCGTGTCGGCCCTCCTTTCGCCCGGCGAAGTGCAGCAACTCGACGTGGCATGGACTCAACAAGTCGTTGGAAGTCTTCTGCAGGAATATTGAGCCATGCTGTCTCGATAGACGTCCATAATTGTGAAAACGTTGATGGTGCAGGATTTTGGGCACGAACAGACCTCTCGATTATGTCCCATAAATGCTCGATGGGATTCATGTCGGGCGATCTAGGTGGCCAGATCATTAGTTGGAATTGTCCAGAATGTTCTTCAAACCAATCGCGAACAGTTGTGGCCCGGTGACATGGCGCATTGTCATCCATAAAAATCCCATCGTTGTTTGGGTACATGAAGTCCATGAATGGCTGCAAGTGATCTCAAGTAGCTGAACATAAGCATTTCCAGTCAATGTTCGGTCCAGTCGCACCAGATGACCAAGTCCATGCCATGAAAAAACAGCCCACACCATTACGGAGCCACCACCAGCTTGAATAGTGCCTTGCTGACAGTTTGGGTCCATGGCTTCGTGGGGTCTGCGCCACACTCGAACCCTACCATCAGCTC